ATTGGGACCATTTTAAAGGGATGCCATGATGTTCAGCCAGAGTGTGTGTGTATGCAGATAGAAATAAACTCCCATTCTAGATATTCTAGATATGTCTAGGATATGACCTTGACATTGATCCAACCTTTATAGTATATGTAGCCCTCTGTGGTAGCCATTTCAGCCAGTTGCCTCCAGTTAAAGCCATTATTACCTTGAAGTCCCTGTTCCTAACGAATGTGTTATAGGTTGGCTACGCCTTCCAGGATGCAGGTCTGACTCTTGAGGATAAACACAAGCAACGTTTTCCTGTTAAGTGAACATTTGATGGTCTGCCCCTTAGCTGCCATCCCTGCTTGGCTACCGTCCCTCTCTCCTTAGCTGCTCTCCTTCCTGTTAGACCCTTACTCCCTGAGCGTCCTGTCTTATTTCCCTGCCTCCCAAACTTGTGGACTCCTACATAGCATTTACCAGGTAAGTTAGTCTACTCTCCCTGGAGAGATTGCTTTCCCCTTTTCCCTCATTGCCTGTGCCTGCAGGGTAATCAATGGCTCTGACCGCCCACGGTGTCTGTAGAGTCTGCCCACTGATCCGTTCTTAGACCTTGGCCTCAGGATGTGCCGGAGGCTGAAGCTGGTGGCCATACTTGTGTACATACTGCAAGTCAGATGGAGGTGTTTAAGGAAGTGGACTAGGAGGTGCCATTTGTAACACTTCAATTTATGACACACTCTTGAAGTAGCAAACTAATTTTTACTGTCAGGAGCCATTCTTTAAAAAGTCATGGTAACTCAGAAAGTCATCTGAGAATTAAAAGAATACCTTGCCAGGTGCCAGGTGTGGTAGCACACTCCTATAATTCCAGCATTCTAGAGGCAGAGGTAGGTGGAACTCTTGAGTTCGAGGCCAGACTGGTCTACATAGAAATTCTAGGTCAGCAAGGGCTACCTAGCGAGACCTTGTCTCAAAAAAAAAAAAAAAGAAAAAAGAACAAAAAGCATCTGTGTGGGGATATATGGCCCTTCCTTCTAGTCCTTACTACATCCTACATCTTTCAGTGGTTGGTAAATAATGAATTGAAAGAAGAAAAGAATACTTATAATCCCTTTTGGTGTTTTGAGGCAAGGTCTCACTCTATAGCCTGGATTAGCCTGGAGCTTATGGAAATTGACCTCTGACCTTTTACACTCTCATGATTGCACACACTCACATCATACACAGTTATAATAACAATTTAAAAAAAATTTAAGGGCTAGAGAGATAGCTCAAAAGTTAAGAGCACTGGCTGCTCTTCCAGAGGTCCTGAGTTCAATTCCCAACAACTACATGGTGGCTCACAACCATCTGTAATGAGATCTGGTGCCCTCTTCTGGCCTGCAGGTGTACATGCAAGAAGAACACTGTATACATAATAAATAAATTATATATAAAAAACTTAGAAAAAAATAAAAACCCTGAGATCCGTAGCTTTCCTGTTGAGGCATTAATGTTTCTTCTCTGATGCTGTATAACCTTTGCCTATTTCTGAAGTGTAGTTGTTGATGTGGGAATGTAGTTTTTTTCCTACTTCTCACTTGTCGAGAGAAGTCAGATCAGGAATATGCTGTTAATGGGAAAGTGTGTGTGTGTTTAAGTTTCACTTGGACTGTTAATATGTCTTGAGTTTGTAGCTGTCATTTAAACCATCTGTATGTATTTTATTGCTGTGCTCAGATACTATTTTTTAAAAAGACTAGGTTTTCTTATGTAGCCCAGGCTGGTCTCATACTGAAGATTCTCCAGCTTTAGCCAGAATGCTGGGATTACAGGTGTGTGTTAGCATGCCCAACTTCTAAGATACTTCATGGAAACTGTTTTACCAATAACTCTTAACCTGATGATTTGAGTTATCTTAGTGATACTTTGGTTTTCTTTTCAGGTGTGGATTTTACTTAGAAAAATGTCATTTTTGTAAGAAGTTTGGCTTTTGCTAGACATCATTTAATCAGTTAATACATGGGACTTTCTTCATTTCCCTGTTAACTTTCAGCAGAGGTTGACTGCTGCTTCTGGTGTGGAAATACTGACGTCTAGGAGGAAACACAGTACCACCGAGAGCGTATTAGTGTTCAGAACGTATTGTTCTGATCATTTTTTCCTTGATTAGGAATCAGCTTTTGTCTACCTGCACACAGATGTATGTGCCACATGCATGCAGTGCCCTCAGAGGCCAGAAGGTGGTGTCAGAGCTCCTGGATCGAGTAACAGATGGTTGTAAGAACCATGCTGGTGTTTGAAAGCAGACCCAGGTCCTCTGCAAAGCAGCAGGCCCTCTCTATCCCAGAGCTAAGTTACTCCTAAGATGACTTGACTTTAAACTGTCGAAGTGTATCAGCAGAACAGAAGTATCGCATGCAGACATTCTCCTCCGGGTGGTTTTATGACCTGCCATGGTTCTCAATTTTCATCTGTTGAGGTAGAAGCCAGGGTAGAGAGATGTGAGATCCTGGCGTGCATGGGATTGTTCTGGTAATTTAACAGAAGCAGAGTCAACGCCCCTCCCCAGTGTCTTACATGGGTTAGCCCTTGCATTTGTTTCTCATGAGTGCTTGAGTCCATACCTTGAACACCTGAGCATCCTGCCAAGACCTTTGTCTTCCTGTGGTTTTTCTTAGTGTGGCTGGGGTGGAGGAGGGCTTTCACTCTTATAAGTGGATTCTTTGTCCTTCCTGTTCTTTCTCTCCACCCCTCTCCCCCCCCCCCCCCCCGTGTGTGTGTGTGTGTGTGTGTGTGTAGAGGCCAAAAGTGGATCTTGGATGTGACTCAGGTACCATCCACCTTATTCTTTGAAACAGAGTCTTTCATTAGTGTGGAGCTGCCCTGCAGGCTACGCTGCTCGCCTGGGGTGGGGGTTACAGGGAGCTCCAGGGGAAAGCCCCAGGAGTCCTCTTGTCTCCCCGCCCCACCCCTTGTGGAATTACAAGCACACCAGTACATCCCACCTTTCCCATGAATTCTGGGGCCTAGCTCTTTACGGACTGAGCCTTTTCCAGCCCTGCCCTCTGTGTCTTCTGTGGCATTTAGGACACACTGAAGACACACAGGGATCAATTCATTATTTTTAAAACTGGTAAATAAAAGAAAAATCAATTCATCCTTACATTCTGGTATGTAATACATCTGGCTTAGGTCATGAGGAAAATACTTTAAAAAAAAACATTTTAATAAATATAAGTTCACTGGGTCTAGACAAGGCTCACAATAGCTACTAAGATGACAGCAGAGACAAGGGCGTTAGGATCTTCAGTCAGCGAGCAGCAGTGTAGTTCTCAAACTCTCTAGCAGATCTGCCACAGAGGGAAGAAGTGGAGATCATAGTTTAAGGACTCTTTAAGATTTAACTTTTTTGCATTTTTACTAAACCTTTGTCGTATCTAAAAACATCTTGGCCACAAATGTCATTAAGATAACTTGCTTGATTTTATATGTATAATCGTTTTAGAATAAAAGCATCAATATTACTGCTAATCTGATCACTGGAAATAACTGATAATATTTTTACTACCTTTGTCCTTAGAAAACATTTTTAGGATTTACTTTCTTGTTTTAAAATCACATGACGTACTTACTTTTTCATGATTAAGCCACCATCTTTATATTAGGCATTTTTACTTTCAGAGATTAAAAAATTAATATTCTTATGGTTTCCTAGTAACTTTAATGTTTTTCAAACCTTATGATGGTTCTTAAATGCTTTAACCTCCCTTGTGGCCCACCACCCACCAGAGGTAGTGGAAAAGGAAGGATATGGGGGAAGTGGACCTGTTCCCCTGTTTAGAAAGATTTTTCGAAGTTCACAGGTTAGCAGTGGCAGCTCGATCCACTTGCAGACACCTCACAGATACACCAGCAGTCCGGTTCCGTAGAGTCAGGATAGCAAACACGAGTCAGCAGTGGTGGCACGACGTAGGAGAGACAGCTGGGCCTCAGCCTCAGCACAAGTCAGCAGGAGGGACCAGGAGGGACACCAGGAGAAGTCCTCAGCCTCTCGGGGGAAGTGAAGATCAGCAAAGATGCTAGGTCCACAGGCGGCGCACAGCTAGCTGTACCGGCAAGGCAAGCTCTGTCTCCGTCACTCCGTGGAGTCATATTTATATCCTCCAAACATCACGTGCCCTCCATGTGCCTTGTCTCAGCACGTGCATCCAATCAGCCGGGGTCTGTGGAAGCAGCAAGAACTGCAGCACACCACCAGACGTTTCTCTCTACGGAGTCCTGACAAACGCAGCACAACTACTCAGTGCAAGGAGTACCAATACATGCGTGTTGTTAGCAAAGAATCCTTCATCACGTGTCCTTTCACGTGCTTGCCTTAGCAGAACAGCCTCTCTCCTGTGTCTGCTTCAGTGAAGCGTTCCTTCACGAGTCTTCCTGGCCTTTCACACCTGAGTCCACGTTAACGAAACATTCCTTCACGTGTTTGCCCCAGCAAAACACCATCCAACCGACTTTCCAGAGATCCCTCAGGTTTCCCCTTCAGTTTCCAGTTACAATTCAAACCTGTAGAAATTCAGTGAGACAAGTCTGGCCTGGATGCCCTCCCACCTGAGAGAACGCTTTTGGTCCTGTTTGTAGTGCAGCCCTCCAGTTCTGACTACCAGTGTGTGTTTTACAGTGTATGTGTGTACGCTGTAGTACAGTCATGTATGGTTCACGTACACATAATAAGTTTGTGCTTTTACGCCCTAGCTACATTTATTTAGAAGTAGCTCATGCAGCGGTGAGCAAACCTGACGAGTCTCTGTTGGGTCCCAGCTCCCCACAGCATAGAAGAAGCTGTCTCCTGTCCTCTACATGTGTGCAGTGATTAACGTCTTTAAATATATGGCTGTTCTTCCTGCTTTAAACTTACCAGCATATCCACAAGGTCATTCCCATGTGTGGGTACTAAGTATCTTTTTGGACTGAGTAACTAGGCTGGCCTCACAAAGTCAGTCTTCTGCTCTTACAAATGACGCATTTATCTTTGTTTGTCTTTCCAGTTTGCCTGTTCATCCTTGGGCTGCAGCCCTAAGAGCATGCTGGGCCACATGCCGCACGAACCTGTCGTCTTTCTAGGTATTGCCACACTTTTCTTCCAGAAGAGCTATCTCATTTTGCATTCCTAGAAATTAAGATGCTGTTATATTTTGCAATTTGGTGAGCCTTTAGGGTATACAAAGTTGAGGATACAAAGGAAGGATTGTAGTTACCGATAAAGTGTCAGTTTAAATACAGGCCACTGCCATTGCTCTTGGTTGACTCCCAGATCTAGGTGGTAAGAGCCCTCAGCTGAAGGAAGACACCACACACTGTATAAAGGACAGAGAAAGCAGACTGGCCCCGAGTTAGAGAGCTAGCCAGTGTCCTTCCTGCTGGCTAGTGTTGTTCATAGTGTCAGAAGGTGTAGTCTCCTGTGGGGAAGTGGTGGGGAGGAAGTCAAAGGTCTGAGCCAGCTGTCGATCCTGCAGGCTACAGTTCTGACCCATAAATCAGGTCACGTCCACTGGTGCGGCAGCAGCAAGTGTTGTGGGTAACCAGTCTCCTCTGACTGGATTCGAGGACTGCTCCCTGGGTGAGAAAAATGATGGATACTGTAAACGTGGTCACAAAGCTATAGTTGGGGACGTTACATGCCCTAGCAGAGAACATCGTAGTCCTGACATTTTGCTAAGTGGGATGTGCAGCCAACTGCCTCCTAAATATTTGTGTTACTAGCCATAGGCTAGTGCAGCTCCCTGTATGGGTCAGAGAAACAGTAGTTAGTGCAGAGAAGCAATAGGGACCATGGAGGGTGGAGAGGCCCGCCAGAGCTGCTCTCTGGATATGGAGGCTGTGGCTGTCGCAGTGCTGGGCTCAGCTCCTGTGGCTACCTGCGTAAGACAAGCCCTGCACAGATAAAATGAGGGCCTGGGATAGGAGGGGCTGGTTGTGAAGAGAAAAGCCGACAGGAGTGGAGAGGGATGAGGGACGGTGCTGGGCGGATGAGCATAATGGTCCGTATGTACACACTTCTGTACACACAAGAGACAGAAAGTCAGTTTACTGGGAACACAGTTCAGGGGTTTTTTTTAACCTTATCATGAATTAATTAGTGAACTATACTCACAGCAAAATGAAATATATACTTACAGTATAACCTCCCTGGCTGTATTTTGTGAGTGAAATATATAAAAAAATGAAAATGATTATTTTTGATAAACAAATTAGGAAGTATTATCTGAGCTTTCATTTGGCATAGTAAATATTTTTGCATGAATTAAACTCTGAGGGCTCAAATTGTCATTTGCTGTTAATAAATATGTGAGTAAATTTACTTACTTTAAGTTGGGCGTTTAGATTTAGTTGGTAAAATGTTGGTGATTCACACACAGCCATGTAGTAATCTGTAATTTTGAGAGTGTTAATGTTGTCTCTGCTGTCGTCTTTCTGGACTTTGTGCACTCTTTAGTCTCTTTTTTTAAGGCTTCTTATTGGCGATAGGGGATAATTAAAGTTTTCAGCTTACGAGCATTTGTGTATTTTGTGGAAGAAGTGATGCACTCAGCTGGTGTTTGGCTTTAAAGCTCAGAGAAGAATCATTCACAGTCATCCGAGAGATGCTATAGGAAGGACTGGAAGGGCAGTCTGGACTTTTCCTTGTAGGAAAAAAAAAATCAAAGAATGGTTTATAAGATTCTTAGTTAACACTAAGAACAACTTGAGAAAGACATGGTTTATGTTTTTTGTATAAACTTTGTAAAATTATTAAACAATGCTGTACAAAGTATTTTTCTGCTGATGTAGAAATCAAAGTGTACTTGTTATTAACGGTGTGAAATAAACATTTCACAGGAGCGTGGTGCTCTCGAGTGCCTTAAGGGACTGTCTTCTTCAGTGCTCACCACAGGCAGGAGATGGGAATAGTTAGGCTGTCCCATCGTTTGGGTTAGGGAAGTAAAACATAGAGCCTGGGACTGGATTCTGTCCCTGACCCATAAGTTCAGTCTCAGAGCAGTCAGGGATGCTGAATGGAGCATCGTTGCATTTGGTGGGAATTTTGATCAGTTGTTACCACCTAGCTTTTGATCGTGATTTCATGTTAGCTGGAAGAGTATCCTTGGACCCAGCTGTGTATAAGCCCATGTGTCTGTGTACATACACTGGCTTGAAACATTCTCGGTGGCTCAGAAGTGTTAACACCTGATAATGGGGACTGTTTCATAGGAGCTGAAGTCCTTATGGAATTTGAAATTATTTCAAGATGAAAAACCACTGGTTTGTCCAAAGTGGCAACAGAGGGACGGAATAGTTAGTTGAACCTAAGCTCTCTTGTACTAAATGCGCATGTGCTTATCTTTACTGTGTTTCTGCTGTTTCTAATCAAGATTATAGATGAAATATGTATAGAAGAAATTAAGCTTTTCTTTCTTCCTTCCTCATGCCTTTGAATTGTACCAACTGCGACAACATTTCTATATATCCACATCTTTCCCAAATCTCTTCCATGTAATATTTTACAAGATCACTTTGTAAATGTTTTGCAGTTAGACATTTTTTGTTGTTGTTGTTGTTTGGTTTTTTAACTGTATCTTATTGTAAGCTTCTGCTTTATATGGATTCTTTTACAGCTTATGTATTTTGATCTCATTTTGAAGTAAGTCCCTAAAAATAACCATACTCTTCTGTGTTTAGCTTAGGCTGTCTTATGATGACGCCTTTGCTATGGCTAACGACCCCTTGGAAGGCTTCCATGAGGTGAACCTTGCTTCGCCCACTTCTCCGGACCTGCTTGGTGTGTGTGACCCAGGAGCCCAAGACCAGACTACCTCCCCGAGCGTCATCTACCGACCACACCCTTCAGCGTTCTGCGCTGCGCCTGTCCAGGCCAACGCCTTAAATCTTTCTGATCTTCCTACACAACCTGTGTACTCATCCCCGAGGCATCTGAACTGTGCAGAAACATCTCATATCAGGTAGGAGATTACCAGCTCACTTACTTAGGGTTATTGTTATTTTTAAGAGTTGACTTGCTTGTCTTAAATTATTCTTTTTAGAAAGTTTGAGTACTATAAATTTGCCCATGTAGAATGATGCATTTTAATCTTTAGACCAGGAATTGGCAAGTTTACGTAGATGACCAAACGAAAAAATGTTTTAGGTTTAGCATGTTGCAGGATATCTTGATCACTCTGTGAACCCCGAGATTGTGTTATTGACTGAAAGAATGTGTTTCTAGTTGTGGTTGGGTTAGCACTAGCACTTACCTTCAATCCCAGTACTTGAGAGGTACACTCCTTTAATCCCAAACAATGAAGGTAAAGTTAGTTTGTTGAAGGAAGCATCAGTGTTTGAAAGTGATGTCTCATTTAGTGGCCACAAAGTGACAAATCAGAGAAAGATTTGACAGAGTAGAATATGCCCAACTCTGAGAAGAGAGAGGAGAGGGAAGCTACCTGTAGGTAGTGCAGAGGGAGAGAAGGAGGCAGGTTTACTGGGACAGTTGTCTAGAGACACGTTACAGAGAGCAAGCTAGATTCAGTTGAAGGCAGAACAAGCCAGAGAATGAGAATGAGCCCGAAGATTAGAACAGACTGCCAGAGTTAGTTTGAGGCCAAGCAGAGCCATTCAGGAGCAGACAAGAGAAGTCAGATTGAGTCAGTTAGCATGGAGAAAAGTTTTGAGCCAGGACAGCTGAGTTGACCAGCCAGCCAGAGTTCAGAAAGAACTTGCAAGGATGAGCTTATTCAGCAGAAAATCTCAGAGGCTGGAACATTCTAGGCCTAGGTTAGATTGTATGGAAACTAGAAGCTTCTGGGACTAGGCCCAGGTTAGCAGACTGAGGCAGTAAGCCTCAGAGAGGACATTTACTACAGGCAAATAAAAGTTACTTTTACAGTAGCAGGCCATAGAGTTTGTTTTTTTTTTTAAAAGATTTTATTTGCTTTTATGTTTTGTATATGGTTGCTTAGCTTGTATATCAGTGTACTACATGTGTGTGGTACCTTATCGAGGCAAGAAGAAGGCATTACATCCCCTGGAACTGAGTCACAGATGGCTGCCAGCCATCATGCGGGTGCTGTGTCCTGTGTAAGAATAGCAGGTGCTCTTAACCACTGAGCCACCGCTCCAGCTCTGGCCTTACAGGATTTGTTCCAACTCTTCAGTTTTATTTTTATGGTGTGAAAGCAGCCACAGACAGTGTGTAAATGTGTGAGTACGGCTGTCCCAATAAAACTTGTGGCCTCAGAAATGTCATACAAGTTCTACAGGTCCTTCAGTGTTACTGATTTCCAGTCATCTGTTTCTGGCTTGTGGGCCTTAGGAAAGCAGGTGGAGACCTGACTTAGCCTTTGGGCTGGAATCCTTGACTTCCATCCTTGAGAAGTAGAAAGTAGTAGCACTTTCCGTGGTGATGCTGGTATTTCTGTGGTGTGCAGTATAAGTGATAGCCATCAGCCACCTGGCTGTTGAGCACTTGAAGTCTCAGATATGGGGACCTGCTGTAATGAGCTGCGGATTGCCGAGTTCACTGGAGCCAGCCCACTGCAAGCCATCTGAGCTTTCTCTCCTTACAGCGTTCACGTTCCAGACCCAGCATCATCGGTAGCCTCTGCGGTGGCAGCAGGGCTTACGAAGTTCACCTCAAGGAAGGACAGCTGTAATGCAGAGAGGGAGTTTCTACAGGGCGCCACCGTCACCGAGGCCTCTGCTGGCAATGATGACATCTTTGGGTTGAGCACGGATAGCCTGTCCCGTTTACGAAGCCCATCTGTTCTGGAAGTTAGAGAGAAGGGCTATGAAAGGTTGAAAGAAGAACTTGCAAAAGCCCAGAGGGTAAGAAACCCACGTTGTCCTTCCAGACAGTGTTAGAAGTGACTACTGGGGATGGCAGCTGTGAGCAGCCTCACAGCTGTGTTGCTCTTCAGTGCTCTGCCTTGGGGGCAGTGTCTGTGGGCCTGCGAGATTACCTGAGCCGAGAGAAGCTCTGCCTGGGAGTAGAACCGGAGGGACGAGAGTCTAAAGCTGTGGACCGACCGCTGTGTGTCTTGCTTTATCCATAATACTGTTACATGGGTTAAATCCTACATGTATTCCACATGGCTGAATCATGTGATTGGCTTGGGAGTCACTTCCTAGAAGGCCACCAGTCTAGGTCGTTTTACTTGGAGGAACTGTTGCAGTAATGTCGCCATTTTTTCTCCTGCTAGTTGTGAACATTGCCTGTATTTTATTTGGAGAATTTTCTTTCCTTGACAATTTCTATTTGTCTTCAAATTTATGGCCAGCTCTTATTATCCTCTCCCTCCCCCCCCCCCCCAGCTAAAACAGAATTGCAGAGAGAAGTATGTATATAGCATTAGGAGACAGGGGACGTATTTGTGTGTGTGCGTGTGTGTGTGTGTGTGTGTGTGTGTGTGTGTGTGTGTGTGTAGGGGGATGGTGCATTCGTTGTGTGTGCAGAGGCAGAAGACAGCACGGGATACTTTCCTCTGTCACTCTCTGTCTGCTCCTTTGAGGCAGGGTCTCTCCTTGAACCTGTTTTCTTGTTTAGGATAGAAGATCTCAAGCACCACAGAGCCTTCTGTGTCGTCTGCACTCTCTGGAGCTGCTGGGCTGTTAGAGGCTTATGCTAGGATGCTAGGCTGATTTCATGTATGCTGGGATCAACTCTGGTCCTCACGATGTGCAGCAGACATTCTTAACTGTTTAGCCCTCTCTCTAGCCTAGGAAAAGTCAGAAATGAACAGTGTTACTTCATCAGCCTAAAAATACAAGTAGTGTTCAAACACAGGGAGCAGAAGACTGGGAACGGTATAGCCTGAGAGCAGAGTCAGTGATGTCAGCAAGAGAAATGGGAAAGGAATAAAACAAATATGGATTCTTTAAAACATCAGTAAAACTGACAAACTTCCAGCAAGACTGACAGATTATCAATATTAAGAGTAAAACAGGTATTGCTCCTGACCCCACAGAGGGCAGAAGTACGGTTTATGAAGGATCCCATGCACATAAGTTTGACAGTTGTGGTCCAATACTAATCTGTATTTTAACATTGAGAAGGTATGTCACGCACTATTTCTTTCATGCTTGATGTTGTTCAGGCACGTGTCCACCCTCTAGCTACCGTGGCTGTTTCTCAAGAATGTGGCTTTCTGATTTTTCATTTATTTATGTTTTTTGTTCGCGCATGCTTCTCTCCTAGCTCCATTGAGAATCTTTAGTTTGTAGTATTTGGAGCTGCACTGAGGTAACTGCCGTGATTATGCTGTATTGAGCTTGTACATGGACTGAATTTTATTAAGATGAATATAATACAGTTTTAATATCAACGTAGGGCTCAAGTCTTGAGGGGAATTTGAATATGAAAGTATTTTCTGAATACTTATGTGTCACAATTATGCCATGAACGTTTTGTATCTGCCCCGTTTACAACCTTTTAACTTGTTAGTACTTTTCTGTTTAAAATAACTGTTACTACTTATCCTTTTTGCTGACATGCGCCCTTTAACTGGTATATTTAGCTATTTGTACTTAATGCAGTATTCTTTACACTTGGCTAAGTCTATTGTTGTCTCTCTGTTGTTCTAGCTGGTCTCCTATTTTACTCCTCCTTTTGTGTTAATTCATTTTTGATAATTTCAGTCTTCCTTCCTTTGGCTCACTGGCTAATTTTTGTTGGGTTAACTGAGTAGGTGGTTTACGGCTGACAGCGAACTCTTTGAACTAGTCTCCTCTATCTACCGCAGAGGGAGGGCCACGGCCCGTAAGCACCGTGAGAATCTTAGCCGTGTGTTTCTCTTCACTTCCGGCTCTGGGCAGTGAATCTCATACACTTCCTTACATGTTTTAAATCTCACCACACACTTTTACTTTGCGTTAAATGCTTGATTATTTTAAAGAGATTTATACATAGCTGTTGTTTCCAGTGTTTCTCTTGTTTTATGTGTATCTAGATTTCTAACCGGCATTGTTTTCTATTTAAAGGGCACCGTGACCATGTTTCCTGTCCATGTATGATGTGGGTACCTTCTTTTATATGTGAAAAGGTCCCTTTTTACTGTAGTTTTTCCTTTCCTAGGGTTCAGACTTGAAGGCTGATGTATGTCTGCTCTCTGAGTATTGAAGGTTTTGCTTCGGGATCTTCCGGCACGTCATTTTCACTGGAAGTCGGGGTCACCCCTGCTGTCTGCTGCTCTGTGTGTGTTGAGATCTTCTGCAAGCAGTTCTGTGATTTTCCCTTTTAGTGTAGTTTCTTCAGGGCTGTGTGGTGTCTGTGTGCATGCATGGATGTGTGCATACGTGCATGTGCACACACACACTTAGAGTGAGTGTGCTGTGCTCTTGGGTCTATAGGGGTTTTGTCTTCTTAAAGTTTTGGACAGTTTGGCTTCAGTTTCAAAAATCCTTACATTCCTTTCTCCGCTTTTGAACTTCCGTTATATGTACATTAGATTGTGGGGTTCTAGTCTTTTTTTTTTTTTTTTCTTTCTTTCTTTTTAAAAATTTTTGCTCTGTTTGGGTTTCACCGTGGATAGTTTCCCATAGCTCCCGGAGCTGTTCTGACTGTCTGCAGTATCTAACCTATTTTGGACTCTAGTTTTCACGTCCAAAGTCTGAACCTTTTAGATCATTGTTTGCTTTGTTGTCTAATGTGACCACTCTCACTCTAAGCTTCTTGAGTGCATGCTTTAAACTTCCTAATGCTTCATCTGCTCCTGGGATGACCCAGGGCTCCCGTCACCTGCCTTCCACTTCTGGGTGATCACTGTCAGTGTTGACAAGTGCCCACTGGCTTGAGAATTGTCTCATGTACTTAGTCCTAGGTGTTCAGTTGTATCTGACACTGGTAAGTTGGGCCCTGTTACCTTTCTTGATTAGACCTGGAAGCTGTCCCCTTTATATTGCTCATTTACGCACTTTATCTGGCAACTCTTCTCTGAATTCTCGTTTCCTCACAAACACACATCAGGTATTTTGAGCTTCACAAGGAAGAGTGTACATTTTGTTTATGATTGTATCTAAAGCATGTGACATAGTCTTGCTGTGTTTTGTTGTTTGAGTGGATTGTGTATATGGGCATGCAGGAATACTGTTGTGTGAATAGGCACATATGCATAGTATACTAGATAGGGTTATTGCTAGTTTCTTAGTATCGAGACAATGTATTAGAAACAGAGTTTCATCTTTTATATATACAGTACGCTGAAGCAGAGCTTCAGAGTAGATAGACTTTCCTATGAAGTAGTTAGTGACCGTGTTCTTCTGTATTGGGCGTTGTAATCTCGTAGTACAGACCAGCCTTGGTCCAGCAGTAAATCCAGTGTTTAACAGTTAGCCACTCGTGGGAGTGAGTTATGGGATGGCAGGGTTGTTGTGTGGTTCTACAGTTGTCCGGCCTGCCTTCCCCAGGTTGTTATTGAAGATCAGCTTGGGTATGTCGCTTGGCTTTAGTATGTTGTTACTAAAATGTGGATATCCATATTTCATCCCAGAGCTGCTGAAACAGGAGGATTGTGTTGACGCCTAGAAACAGGTGTTTCTCACAAACGTCCCTGTTAATCGTTAGTCACCAAGAACTCGAGGCCTTCTGGTGTGACATGTTAGCTTCAGGTCTTGTTCTTCCTGAGAAAAGGAATTGGTTAGGAAGTAAACAGGGCCGGAAAGCTTGCAGCCAGAGGGAATCACTCAAGAATCACGCCCCGTTTAGTTAGCATGACCCTTCTATAATAGTTGTAGCCAGAAAAAGATAAACATTTACAAGGCTATTTCATTAACAAGTATTTTTGACTGTGTTCTGTGCAGGACTAAACTAGATATGACCCTGTGTTCATTTACTTTGGCAGGGTTTGGTGATGTATGTCTGTAATCTTAGCACTCAGAACACTGAGGCAGGAGGATTGCTGTGAATTTGAGGTTGGTCTGGACTACATAGTAAATTACAGGCCACTGTGAACTAGAGTGAGGCTTTGTCTCAAGAAATAACCCACACTAAATTAAAATTAGTAGTCAGACGGGAAAGATGTAAGTGTGCCTCACTGACTCTGTGCTGTCTTCCCCCTAACATCTCTGAAGTCGACATGGGCCTTAACATTGCTACCAGTTAGACAGCAGCAGGACAGTTGAGAGGCCTGCTTATGCATGAGCCTTATGTGTGAGCTTCATCAGTGCTGCCCTGCTAACCTAGTTGAGTGCTTTATTGTTGATTTTAATTACTAGGTGAAATGCTTTCAAAAGTGTCTCCCTGTAATGAGGTAATGAAATGGAAACCCAGACTGACAGGATAAGAACCTGTTCTCTGTCAGCTTAAAGAAGTTCTCAGGAACAGCAGCCCTAAGAAGAAAAGCAGCACGGAATCACGTTCACGAACAGCATTTGTCTTGCTGTGTGTATGAGGTGTGTAGTAGATGAAAAGTTAGGAAGTCCAGCTAGCTCCACAGCGTAGTTGAGCAGTAGTGATTGCACTGTGTGCCCGAGGCGAGGGTGCTTCAGTCTCTAGCCCTGGGGCAGGGGGATGAGGTGTCAGCTGACCAGTCGCCATGTATGTGCAGCCCCAGCTACTTTGGGAGGAGGCTGAGCTGCAGATGGATTTCTGGACCCCCAGAGTCTTAGGACCAGCTCGTGGGACGTAGCAAGTCCCCGTCTGGGAATACAGAGGAGGTAAAGTCTTAGCACTGTTGAAGAGTGCTTGTCCTAGAGCCCTGATGTTAGGTTAGGCGTCCCTCACCTTCCTTCTCCACATTCTCATTCTAAATCCATGTCACTGGCTAAAACATCAGAGGAATTACTGTGATCTCTGTCTCCAGGGGTTTAAAACAATACCTTAGCCACACTGTACAAGTGGTGCATTCTGAATGGCAGACCTGATGGCTGCCTCCTGGATTAGAACGGGTCAGGGACTCCCGCTCTATCTCTCTCTGATGATTCCCCTTGGCTTTAAGGTAAGTCCTGTTTCTTACTTTGCCTTTCAAGGCTGCTCCAAACAGGTCTCTTTAGCTCCACCTTGTGCCTCATCCTCTACTGTGAGACACACTGCTTCCCACCTTCTGTTTGGGACTCTTTCATTCCCTGACAAACACCCATCCTTACTTACAGAGTCCCTTGTGAGTCTGCCTGAGAGGTCTTGAGCCCTCAGTGGACTGGGACTTCGTGAAAACCACGCATTAGCTCTCCAGCTTGCCCTCTGGCACCAGGACGCTGGCCTGATTTATTAACGTAAAGTTAGCGTTTGTTGAAGGAGGGAAGAGTTACCATGCAGGGCACTGACAAGGAAGAGTGCAGATGTTAAAAGTACTCACGGGGCACAGTACACGTCTTACCTCATTTGTGGTCGGCTGAGCTGGACCTTGAAGCAGACAAAACAATGGTCATTTGTGGGGAAAGAGTTCAGATGGCTTGGACCAGGCTGGGGAGTGGGAGGGAGACTGACCGGACTCTGCAGAGGCAGATAGCACAAGCTCTTGAGGGCCTCTGGTGCTTGGGTGGAGTCACGCTGCTGTGGTAGGTAGTCAGCAGCTGGTCTAGAGTTCTGCCTCAGTAAGTGACAGGCACACTTGTGGCTCCAATTGTCAGGGAGTGGACCAGGAGTCTTCCTGTTTGCAGTCGGTGTTCCACAGGAGCATGTGGTACTCACTGGGGATGGCCGTTCTCAGCCCTGCGAAGGACCTGTGTCCTCCTGTCATCTCCGCTCATGTGCTTTGTGTCTAGGATGTAATGCAGCCGAAGGTGCAGTGTGCAGCTGCTTCAGATTGGCTTCTCACTGCGTTTCCTGCATATCTCACAGCTGCAGTGCTCCCTTCCCCTCCCCTGGGCTCTCCCCTCCCCTAGGTGCTCCCTTCCCCTCTCCTGGATACTCCCCTCCTCTGTTTACCCTGGGTGCCTACAGGATGGAACTGTTGGTTGTGTTTACCCACAGGCGAGGCCTGGGAAACCTTTCTGCCTTTCTCCGTTTTCCTCAGATACGTTCTTTCAGTTCTCTCCCAAGTTAGAGTCCTCATATTTAGAGATTTTGTGATGCATTGTGTTTGAGTCTCTCACTCTATTGACCAATCACTGAGGATACGTTCTCTTATCCGGAGACTTGAGAGGTTTTCCTTTACCAAGCCTTGCTGAGACGACTTAGCGTTAGGTTCTGATATCTCAGGATATTTGGTTTTTAGGAGTTGTCCTTGGGAGATTAAACCCTAAACTGCCACCACAGTCACAACATGACTCATTGCTACATTCTCAGGGTAACTGTGAGCGATCTCTTTCATAAATCTGTGTTTGAAAGGTTAACATAGGGTGACTGCAGCATATAGAATCCAGCAGTTTGATGCTTTAATAAAACAGTTGTGTGGTGTGTGTGTGCATGTGTGTACATCTTGCATGCCGATGTGCATGCGTGTGTGAATGTGTGGAGATCAGGGATCAGTAGTGGGTGTCTCTCTGTCTTATGAGTTGGGACAGGGTTTCTCTCTGAGCTTGGAGCTCACCCGTTTTGCAGGCTGGTTAGCCATGAGTTCTGGATCTGCCTGTCTCTGCCTCCTCACCTGGGATTACAGGCATGCACAGCTGTGCCTAGCTTTCTTACATGGGCTCTGGATCCAGACCCAGATCTTTGTGCTTTTGTGGCAGGGACTTTACTGACTAAGTCATGGTCCCCTCTAAATAAACATTAAAAATTAATTCATTTCATTGGCATTAATAAGCAAAATTGAAATAGATACAAGCTTGGTAGAAATAAGTGTGTTTGGAGAAAAGCTAAAGGGGCAATAGTGGTCTATGCGTTATGTTCACAGTTGGTCTTCGAATGTTTTATGTAACATGTTGGCTTAGTTGTAATTTTAGAGTTTGTAATTCATTTTCAGTATAACAGGTAGGAGATGTATTAGCATTTTATAATTGTATTAACTATTGTATAGTCTATTCAATTTCACTACAGACTGAAGAGATCTAAAACAAAGTTATCGATTTCTCACAGGAATTGAAGTTAAAAGATGAAGAATGTGAGAGGCTGTCCAAAGTGCGAGACCAACTGGGGCAGGAGTTGGAAGAGCTCACAGCTAGCTTATTTGAGGTTGGTCTGTTTACGTCGTGGCCACGAGCAACATCCGAATTGTATATGTTGGTAGAACTGGCTTGTGAACGCATCCTGAGAAGGATGTGGCTAGCTTCATGTGTGTTCCTAATACCTCTAAGCAAGACAGAGAACAAAATCTTTAAGGAAATGTAGTTTCTAATTTAAAAAAGCGAAAAGAGGAGGTAGGCCCATTGTAGCTCCTCAGTGCTGAGCAGTTAACAATGTTTGTGTGAAGGGAAGGGTCAGTAAGTTTAATTTTAACGTTTACCAGTTATTTAGGGCTACTTGGATGTTTATTTTTATTTTCTTTTGTGATTGCAAACCCTTGTGGTACATTCACTGCCTCGAGGTGATCTGAAGAACATGAGGTGGCGTGCCTTCCTCTGCAGCTTGCCCTCAGGACCAGGACTTCTACCCAGCTCTGCTTGGACAGAGACATGCCCAGGGGAGCCTGTGTAGGACAGGCAGAGATAGACAGAGATACTGGGTGTTTTAAAGGACTGGGTCATATGACACTGGAGGTTGCCACGTCCCAGGGCTGTAAGGGGGTCAGCAAGCCAGCTGAGCCTGAGAAGCTGAAGCCCGTGTTTGAGGTCTGAAGGGAGAGCAGAGGAAGGTGCCTTTTGACAAGCTCAGCCTCCTCTGAGGCCGTTGACTTTGTGCTGTCTCTGATCCAGAACTCCATCCCAGAAACCCTCAGGATACTGGGTGATAAAACATGAAACAGGTTTGTCCCCCAGACACTAACTAGGAGAGAAGAGTAGTTCTATTTTCTAAGTTTGTAAATTTGTACATGTGTCTAAGAGCAGACATCACAAGTGAGCACATGACAGCCTCAGGTGTAAACAGCTAAGTGGAGAAAAAGGTAAAAATTTACTGTCACACACATAAATTATATGTAAAGTGTAACACTGATGTGTAGGTTAGAAATGCACTTCCACGTTAAGTATTGAATGACTACAGCCGCCGACGTTTGTTCTGGAAACACAATAAGGAAAGAGTAAGCTCTGACACCAGGTACAAAGTGTGTGGTGAGTAGAGGCAGATGGGCATCATTCTGTCAAAAACAGTGTTCTAACGTGGGAACGTCTGGTTCGAAGAAACATACATTAGATACACAAAGGAGAGGAAAGAATCAAAGCATGCTGGCATGTGCACACACACACACACACACACACACACACACATATACCCTGCACCAAACCACAGTGAAAGAGAACAAGAGAAAAGAGGAACAAGGAAGCTATGGGACAAATGTACTAGTGAGGAGAGTAAGCCTTTAATTACTTTAAATGTAAACAAACCAAATTCCCCAATCAAAAGGTACAGGGTAGATACAGCCTGTAGGCGAAGGGGTGGAGAAGTATTTCTGTGTAGCAGGGCGGCTGTATTTGAATTGCACACAATAGACTTTCAGGCAAAACTGTTGTTCAGAGATAAGGTCATTACATAATAACAAAAGGGTCAGGTGATTGGGTGATACAATTAAGTATGTACCCAATCACAAAGCACCCAGATGTACAAAGCAGGTATCAGATCTGAAGGGAGGAGACTGCAGCAGCAGCAGCACCGGAATGGAGGTGTGTTGCTGAGTGTTCAGATAGGAAAGCAAGACTAAGTAGCAGGGTGGATGGACAGCAGACCAGAGGCCCCTAGACGTACACAGAACCCTCCACCTAACAAGAGTCCACGCTCTTCTCATGTGTACATGGTACATGAAATACTGTCTGGGATGATTCCAGTTACATCACAAAGTTCATTATATATGTAAAAAGGGAAAAGATTCCCCACTGCCTTTTTCCGTTTTTCTCAGGTATGTTCTTTCAATTTACCCACAAATGAGGCCTGGGAAACCTTTCTGCCACAGTGAAATCTAATTAGAAGTAACAATAACACAGTAAACTACACCAGTATGTGGGTACTAAAACTCTCTGAACTGTGGGGCTAAAGAAGGAACTAAAAGGGAATTTGAAACCTTTTGAGACAAATTGAGAACATAGCATAGGAGGTGCAGCCAAGGCAGTACTAAGAGAATTATATTGCAGTAAATGCCTACAGAAAGATACAGGAGGACACTCACTCGAATACCATACCTCAAGGAATTTGAAAAAGAGCAAACTGAGCCCCAAGTTAGCAGGAGGAAGGAAATATCAGAGTGTAAAAGGAACACAGGGACAAGGAAAAAAAGAATATCAACAAAACTAAAAGTTGTTTTTGAAAAAAAGAAATAACCAGGGTCTTTACTAAACTGAGGAAAAAAAAGAGAAAGTTTTAAAAAGACGAAAGAAGAGACGTTCTGAAGACTTTTTAAAGGCCATAGAGTCCTTTAAGAAAAAAAAAAACATATTCCAGTCATGAACTACTCCAGAAGAAATGGAGAAATTCCTAGAAATACAGTTTATCAGTGTGGAGGGAAGATAGCATACAGAGTCAGAAGAGACCAGTGACAAGCTTGTCGGTGAGAGACACGGCCGGCCAAAGCTAGCTTACCAACCAAGAGCAGTCCAGAGCTGGGTGGCCTCACATAAATAAAAGGAGTGTCACCAGCCAGTGACACAGGATAACACACATCCCCAGACGCTCAGAGCAAAGCAGAAGGTACACAGAAGGAAGCACACTTGTCAAAGCATTTTGTCAAGTCAGTACGGATGTAATGTCAACGCCAGTGACAATTCCATGAGAAAAAAAGCCTGTGGGCCAATATTGAATCTTGATACACAAAGATGCAAAAACCTTCAATAAAACACTAGCAACCTGTGTCCAAAAGCACACAGGAGAACCACATACCATGGCCCAAGAGGGCTTAGCCTTGGAATGCAAAGATGATCCAGCATCAGCAAATCAGTTGGTGAGGCACACTGCGTTAGAAGGAAGTGGAAATGTGATCGTCTCAGTAGATGGGGAGAAAGCATCTTACAAAAGACAAAGGTAATATGACAAAATCTTCAACAAAAGAGGTATTAGAGCAATGTTACTTAACATGGTGAGGACCAAATATTCAACATGGCCGCATCCTAACCCCTTGTAAGTGGGAAGCGTTTCCTCTGTGATCTGGTACAAGCCGAGGGCTCTCAACCTCAGCACTTCTTCATGTAGGACTAGGGATCGGAGTCACGACAATTCCACAAGAAAAGGAAGTAAAATGGGGTCTGCAAATGATTGTCGTTTATATAGAGAATCCAGAAGATTTAGCAGTAAAAACAGAACTAAGAAATGAACATTGTAAAGTTTGAGATTAAACAAATTAGTGTTTGTATACTATAAATGATCTGAAAAGAGAATTAAAGAAATGGTTTCACAGAAGCATCCACGGAATCACTTACGTAGAAATAAGCAGCGGTTGGCAAACTGAACGTTAGGACAGGTTGATGTGAAGAGAATTTAAAGAAGACATTATTTCATTGGTCGGAAGAATTAATTTAGCATTTATATTTCTTTATAACCAGTGATCTACAGATTCAGTGTGGTCACTATCAAAATCCCAAGTATATTATTTGCAGAAATAGAAAAATATTTTAATTCATGTCGATCGACAAAAGATCCAGACAACCAAAGAACTCTTGAGCAAGTGCAGAAAGCTGGATACAGGCGTTTCCTGATCTCAATCTATGACAGAGTGACAGCAATCAAAACCACAGTGTGACTGAGAAGAGGGGATTAGAAATAAGTGTGCATTGATAATCCACCACGTGTTAATGATGGGGCAGATGAGCTGGAGGAAGGATAGCTCCTTCAGAGAATGACACTGGAAAATAATAATTGCGTGCACATGGATATGACTGCACTTTACACCCTAAACAGACTCCAAAGATGGATTCAAAGACCAGAAGCCACACACCACTGACTCAGGAAAAGCTGCTTGACAGTGGTCTGGGCAGGGTTTGTTGTTGTTTAATGTGAAACCAGAAGATCAGGAGACATCACAGAAACAGAGAAATGGAATTGCATCTAACTAAAGCCTGCAAACAGTCACCCAAATAACATGCAGTGCAGCAGAGAGAGCGTGTGCACAGTGTGTTTACAAACAGTCGCTCAAACTAACATGTAGTGCAGCAGAGAGAGTGTGTGCACAGTGTGTCTACAAACAGTCGCTCAAACTAACACGCAGTGCAGCAGAGAGAGCGTGTGCACAGTGTGTCTACAGTCGCTCAAACTAACATGCAGTGCAGCAGAGAGAACATGTGCACAGTGTGTCTACAAACAGTCGCTCAAACTAACAAGCAGTGCAGCAGAGAGAACATGTGCACAGTGTGTCTGCAAGCAGTCGCTCAAACTAACATGCAGTGCAGCGGAGAGAATGTGTGCACAGTGTGTCTGCAAGCAGTTGCTCAAACTAACATGCAGTGCATCAGCAAGAACGTGCAGAGTGTGTCTGGCACGGGGATAATTGCAGTGTATATAAGGAGTATCAAAGTGAGCAACACACACAGTAAGAGATTAAGCACCCAACGGAGAGATGGACAAGCATCAGAAACTGTATGAAAAGGTATTTAACATCACCAGTCAGGTAATGCAAATACAAACCCAGTGAGACGCTAGCGCTGCCTCAAAATGTCAACAGAGTGTGTTAGCAAGGTGTGATGCAAGGTATGACTGTTACAGACAAAAGCATAGCGATTTCTCCTTAAAAAATGACAGATGGAGCTGATGTGGTGGCCCACGCTTTCATCCCAGCACTCAGGAGGCAGACAGGCAGGTCTCTGATTCAAGGTTAGCCTGCTCTACACAGCGAGTCCTAGGATACCGAGGACTACGTGATGAGACCTTGTCTTTAAAAACCAACCAAACAATGCCCCCCCCACCCCCCAACAAACACAAAACCCCAGACAAAAACAAAAAAACTAGAAGCATGCAATCCCCGTTTGGGGTATACATCAAAGGAAATAAAATTCTTTTTTTTTTTTTAAGATTGATTGATTTATTTTATGTATATGAATACACTGTCGCTGTCTTTAGACACACCAGAAGAGGGGATCAGATGCCATTGTAGATGGTTGTGAGCCACCATGTGGTTGCTGGGAATTGAACTCAGGACCTCTGGAAGAGCAGTCAGTGCTCTTAACCGCTGAGCCATCTCTCCAGCCCAGGAAATAAAATTCTTGATACCTGCATTCTCACGTTCATTGCTGTCGTATTACCCTAAGCCAGATGTGAGCACCTAGTCAGCAGTGAATGGGTAAGGCTCAAGCGGACTGTGGATTTATGTAACATTAGCTTTTTAAAAAGGGGAGTCAGGTTGGCGTGACTCAGTGGGTAAAGGTGCTTGCTATGCAAGCCGACAACCAGAGTTCAGTCCCCGGATCCTGTGGTGGAAGAGGAGTGCCGTTTTTCCTGACGGTTGTCCTCTCTCTCTTTCTCATACACACACACACACACACACACACACACACACACACACAAATATATTAAACTTAAAGAAAATCTTACCGTTTTAGGCAATATAGATGGTGTGAGAAGAGAACAGAACAATATACAATGTTTCCCTTTCCCGGGGACACAGTAGACGGGCTGAGGAGTGGGAGGGAGGAGTGTTGGTTAATGGTTGGAGCTGCCGGGTATGTAGGAGTAAGTGTGCACAGGGACTGAGACGGATGCAGGAAGCTCACTGAAAAGTACATCTCGGGTGTTCCCACCACCAAAAAAATAAGGGCGAGCTGAGGTGGGTATGGTTTTATTTTTTAATTCAAAGTCCAACCTTCTATTTTTACTGAGACAGGCAGTTCATTCGTGTATTACCTCTGGTTGTTTTCCACACTTGTAAAAAACAAAATTGAATTATGGTAAAAGAAACTGTTTCTATGTGGTCCTGAAGTCCCAGAATACCATTTGGCCCTTTACAGAAGTTGGAGATTCTTAGTACCTGTCCCGGCTCCATAAACAAGGGCTGTGTGACTGAATGTGGGAGACACAGAAAGTAGTACAACAGGAGCTTTCTGTGTGTAGAGCAACCAGAGATGAGCCTGAAACCAAGCACATAACGGATCTCAGGTATTTGATGAAAGTCTTGTCACGACCTCACCACTGCTGTGGTTCTGAGCATGCACCACGCCTGAGATGCCGAGGGAGGCCCAGATTCAGGACTGCAGTTGGTTAGGAGCTGCCATGTTTTTATTGTATAGAGTTTCTGTCCCTGTAGAAACAGACAGGTCTAATTACAGAAAACAGGATTTATAATATGGCCTTTTTACTCATTCCTCAGGATGTATCTATAAAAAGTTTGAATTTTAAAAATAGCTGTTTTAGGGCCAGCAAAGTGGCTCAGCAGGTAAGGACCCTCGTGGCCAAGCCTGATCCAAGTTCCCTCCCTGGGACCATGTAGTGGAAATACAGAGCTAACTGCAAGTCGTCCTCTGATTTCTACTCGTGTGCCATGGCACACACAAAACAAATTCCAGCACCTACCCAGCATGCACTGTGCCTGCACACGATTAGGCCCGCCACCAGTCCAGCATGGACTGGGAGGGCTCAGGGGACAATAGCCTGCCCTGATGAGCTGCTGGCTCCTGATTGGTCTGAGGAAGATGTGTCTTTACCTGTGTACCACTTGTATACAGGTGAGCCCACCAAGTCCCAAAGGGTAGTTGAAAACTTGGTCACGTAGGTGACTCAGAGTGTCCAAGAAGTCAGAATGTAAGAGGGAGACCTGACAAGTTAGAGGAGAGAGACCAGGTGTGGGGTGACAAAAGTCACGTGTATCAAATTGTCAAAGAAGAAATGTAGTGAAAGCCATGATTTTTAAAAGTTGATGTGGTTAACTGGGGATTGGGACAGTTTTTAACAGTTTCTGAAACGGTCCTAAACACACCTCTGCCAGAGAGAGGTGTGTTCTTCTGTACTAGAAGGTGTTCTCAATGTCATCATAACATGTTCTTGGCAAAGCTCAGTCTCACTTGGAGAAAGCTTGGGGAACCCTGCCGTGTGCAGTACTTACAACACCTCACTGTCAGAAGGACAATAAAAGAAAATAACCCCAGCATCTAGAAATTCTGCATCTTGATGTTCTGTTGATTGGCAGGCCCATGCTATATGCTTCATGCCTCAGGCTAGCACCCCCTTCTCTGGGGACATCAGCTGCACCTCTCTATCACTGTCCCTCTTGAAGCTGGAGAGGTCACCTCCTATCCCACCTCACCTGGGGTTTTATCCTGGCCTTGGTTCTGGCTGTTCACTGTTCTCTTAGCTCTTCAGAGCTTTCAAAGCTGTTTTAGAAGCGTCGGCTCCTCCAGTCGTCCACTGTTAAGTCTGGTCCAGATTGCACAGCTGACACCCAGAGCCCATCCCTGCCCAGTTCCGCAGGTATTCTGTTTGACATCAGCTTCTTCTGCATTTAGAGTTAAATATCTTAGAATTCAGAGCAGATAAGGTTATTATTTTGGCAATACCTGTCAAATAGTCTTCTTTTGACAGCTCTTCCTTATCCCAGAAAAGTCCAGCAAATCTGCACCAGCTGTTGTTTTCAGAAGGGAAGAGCTGAACTCCTCCCTTCCGACAGTTCTTAAGGACTTTGCCAGACGAGCAGAATCTGGCGACTGGAGTCTTCCTGCAGTTCATCTCATTGTATCACGGTCATGGGTGGTGAACATTCGATTGTTTAATGTAGTGACACACCAGCTGCCGCAGAGGAGCAGCTGTGAGCAACACGCCACACTCTGAGGGAGAGCTTGCCACCTGGCCGGCCACAGACCTGGTAGAGCTGTCTGTCTGACTGTGTGTTTATTAAGTATCTTTAAATCTCCTTTGGATAGCTTACATTCCCAAATAGTAAATCTGAAACCACAGTTTGTTCCCAGTTATTCTAATCTATATAGATTATTTCATACGAAAGCATAATCTTTAAAACATGAGATCATGTTATTCTCTTCCTTAAAGAAGAATTCATCTTTCACTTAAAGTCCGGGATTGTCACCTTGAGTTTTGTCACTGTTGTTAGAGTGTACCCTGAAGCAGGAGGTCTTTAGGAAACGGGCCGTTGTCCCGATCCTAAGTTACTGTCAGAACCTGGAACAGTACCTCCTAAAGAGACGTCCTGAGTAAATGCTGTCTGACTGAGAGGCAGGTGCATGCCTGCAGCTTCATAGCTGTTAAATTCAGAACTTAAGACTACGGTTCCCTTCTCAGGCTACGTTGTACCGGGCAGCTTTCAAACGTGTCATTTTATATGTGCTTGACTGGAAACGAGTTCCTCGGGTGTCATTTCTGCCGAGGCGTTCACCGTCTTGTCCCTGTTGTGTATTTTTTTTTTCTGTGACCAACAATATGTATCACGATTTAATCACAAACACCTTGTTGCAAAGAAGTTGGCTTTGACCTGCAGCCATCCTCCGTCCCCTTTACTGGTCACAGTCCTGACATGGGTGTCCCTTGGACTGGACTGGACTGGATCCCACCTCGGCTCTCAGAGTGCTGAACAGGCACTAAGTGCCTGTCTGACAGCAGCTGCTTTCCCCACAGTGGTTGTTGGGTTCTTAGCTTCAGGCTACAACTTGGCAATGTGTCTTTGTTCCCTCCTAGGTAGCTGCTGACGTGTACTCTGAAATGAGTGTTAAAATACTTTGCCTTCAAAATTTGAGATGTTGACTTTTTCAGGAAGCTCACAAGATGGTGAGAGAGGCGAACGTCAAGCAGGCCACTGCAGAAAAGCAGCTGAAGGAAGCCCAAGGGAAAGTGAGTGTCGGAGCTTCCGTTCTGGATGGGGAGACCGTGGGGAGATGTAGTCATGAGCGCCCTAACGCCCTCGGCGGCGGCTGACTGGAGAAGCCACGCTTCTGTCACACTCGGAAGCTGCAGATACCACGAGTGAGCAAATAGGCACATAGAGGTACCAGTGACCCTGGACATGGGTGTGTAGTATGTCGCAACCAGCTTGCTTACCACCATGGATGTCATATAGAAGGATGTTGTAGCCATTTTTAAAAGTTAAGATTTATTTTCTTAATTCACTGGGGGGGGAAAAAGACACCTAAGTAGATTTTATTATTTTAGGTGTGATCTAAAGGTAGTCGTAAGCTGATATATTTTAATATTTTGAAAATTCATACTAATGTTAGGTATTTTTGACCATTTAAAAAATTTCCTCTTGACATTATTGGCAGTTGAATCCAAGCCATATGGAAACCCAAGAAATTTGGATTACTTTTCCTTCATTACTTCACAGAAAAATAACAAATCATACTTATTTTCTATTCTTGAAAGTGTTTTCGCCAAATTGCTAACCTTGGCTACACCTGCCATAAAGCATGCAGTGCGTGTGACAATGCTGCTTTCTTTTCAAGATCGATGTGCTTCAAGCTGAAGTGGCCGCCTTGAAGACGCTCGTACTGTCCAGTTCTCCAACATCACCTACGCAGGAACCTCTGGCGGCTGCAAAGACCCCTTTTAAAAGGGGACACACACGGAACAAAAGTACAAGCAGCGCCATGGGTGGGAGCCACCAGGACTTCAGTGTGATCCAGCCAATCGTAAAAGACTGCAAAGAGGTAACTCCCGCAGAGAGGACTGTCCCCTCTGATCGGCCCTTCCTGCTAATCGTCATCACTGAGTGAGGTGGCCAGCAGACTTCTTTTTTTTTTTTTGGTTTTTCGAGACAGGGTTTCTCTGTGTAGCCCTGACTGTCCTGGAACTCACTCTGTAGACCAGGCTGGCCTCGAAATCAGAAATCCGCCTGCCTCTGCCTCCCAAGTGCTGGGATTAAAGGCATGCGCCACCACCGTCCAGCAGCAGAGTTCTTCAGTACAGAATATCACTGTTAAGATGGGGAGGCTGTGGCTAGAGCTGGCTGGTCTCTCTAGCATCCTCTCTCCTCTCTCCCCTGGTCTTGGAGCGCCTGCCGCCAGCCTGGGGAGTCTCTGCATGTCAAGTTTCCATCTAGGAGAAAAAGTGGCATGTGTTGTGAAAAGGAAAGTGGGTGGCTTGGGGTCCCCACTAGTCATGACCTTCTGTTAGTGCAGTATTAAAATATGATATGAATGTAAGAAACGTGAAAATATGACTTTTTTTTTTTGTTTTTCGAGACAGGGTTTCTCTGTGTATCCCGGGCTGTCCTGGAACTCACTCTGTAGACCAGGCTGGCCTCGAACTCAGAAATCCGCCTGCCTCTGCCTCTGCCTCCCGAGTGCTGGGATTAAAGGCGTGCGCCACCACTGCTCAGCACAGATTGTCTTTATTCATCTTTAAAGTCTGTAGAGAGCCTGGGTGCAGCAGCCTTTTGTTTCCTTGGTGGGGCCGCACCTCTGGATAAGTTGACCCAGGCTCACAGCCCGCAGTGTACATCCATGGGGTGTTGAGCAGATGCAGTGTGGCTAACAGCTCTGCAAAGAGGAGCACACAGCTAGTTCTGTGTGGGCCAGGGTAGGCCTTGAACCCAATGGGTAGGCTGCAGGGACCCGAGGGCCTGCGGGGAAGAAGGCTTAGGTCAGGTTTAGAGATGGAGAAAGAGGAGGACCAAGTAGAGGCTTGACCAGGAAGTAAGTGGATTATTATTATTCAGGGGGGATTGAAGGTGCTCAGTGTAGTCGCTGAGTGCATGCTGCTGCTTTTGCCCTGTTGCATACACTAAAAGATGTTTTAGCCATCCTTTAGGGACCATTTCTAGTTAAGAACGAGCCCTCTCATTTTTACCCCACACTAGGTTTTCCAGGTTAAACTCGGTGTATTCTCTTTCTTCAGTTAACGTGGCTTCAGATTGGTAATTGTCAGGAGAGAGTGGTCAGCAGCCCTTTTTATATCCAGGACAGCTTTGTCTTCAGAGAGCCCCAGTGGTCCTGGGCATAGTAGTCAGGCAGAGACGGGAGCCTGGAGAGAGACAGCCTGCTCATCTAGTGAGTTCCGGGTGAGCTCGGGGTATGAGTGAGACCCTGACTCAGATGAGAAGAGTAGCCGTGGTATGTGGTGAGCCCTGAGGGTAGGATGGTCACACACCACAGAGACACACCCAAAGGACTCAGTCAACTACTTTCTAGAGAAAGACTGCTATCCTGGATTACGAGACAGCTGAATTTTTATTATTTTAGATGAAGAACTTTCCCTTTTAATAATGTTTAATTTAGGGTTTTGTTTGATCAAGTGGGTTTTTTTTCTTTCTGTTTTAAAGTTGTTTTGTGTTCGTTGTTGTTTGTTAGGCCGATTTATCTCTGTATAATGAGTTCAGATCTTGGAAGGATGAGCCCACGATGGACAGAACATGTCCTTTCTTGGACAAAATCTATCAGGAGGATATCTTTCCATGTTTAACATTCGCAAAAAGTGAGGTAATGTTTTTCATTTTAATAGGAGTGAATTAGAGTCTATTGTACTTTCTACTGTCATGTTTCATATTTTAATGTCCTACATGTAATAAATCACTGTAAAATGTCCCTTTCAACATTTTTCCATTCCACATTAGGACCATGGTTATGGCTGTTCTGAACATCTTTCCTCACTGTGTTAGTGTGCCATGTAGATCTGTGGGAGGAGGGCTTGCCGCTTGATTCACAGACCCAGAATCCGTTTTCAGTTTAAGCCAAGTTCCCTATACACCCTGTTAAAGGTGTCTGCCAGAGTGCAGCTCAGAGCAAAGTGCTCCACTAAACTTTACAAGGCCCTGCCTGATCTCTGTCACTGCCAACACAGACCCTAAACTGGAACACCAAACGTGTCCTTAAATCAAACAGGAAAGACAATGCCAACTTGGCCTGGGTCAGAGTTGTCAGGAGGAAGAATGAAGGAAGCAGGGTCTCGTACAAATCGGATCCAACTGTAAGGTCGTAATTTCAGTTTGATCTTATATTGAGAAATTTGTCTCCAAGTAGCCTGCCAGCTAATGCTTAAGGACTTCAGCCCTCAGAATCTTACAGGACTCTTTGGGGGACTGAGCCGTAGTGTCCTTGTAAGGAGAACTGTGGGCGAGCAGGTTGACATTGACCCAAGTGTGGGCAGTGCTAGAGATCTCAGCAGAGTGAACTCTGACCTCTCACTGGCTGCCCATTGGAGGACACTCCATATCTCATCCAGTAGATTTTTGTGCCTCTAAGACATAAGTTGAGAAAATATTTGGCTAAAGTTACTATATCTTGCTATCATAAATGACCAGTATTTACTATATAAATTTAGAGGCTGAAGCACTAGGATATTAATTTTGAGGTGGTTTTATGGTGTTTATGTAACCATGCATAAGGAATGGACAGAGTCTGGAATTAATAACTTCATCCTCTGCCAGTTAATAAGCAAAACATTCTTGGCAGTGTAACTCAGTTGCCAGTCACAGCTGCTTGCATTATAAAGATTAGAGATTGTGCTTTGTGTATTTTCTTCCTTCTCTTTGCAATGGCTAAGGCCAAGTTAGTGAACTTAAGGAAGACTGGCTTATACAATTAACCTAGTATTTTATTTTGGTGACATATAGTAAATATTTTGGTGATAAATATAATATTTTATCACCAAATAATAAGTTAAAATATTATTTTATAATAAAATAAAATATTATATTTATTTTATTTTCTGCTGACATTTAACTCTGGTTTGTTTTAAGTTGGCTTCGGCTGTTTTGGAGGCTGTGGAGAACAACACTCTAAGCATTGAGCCAGTGGGGTTGCAGCCCATCCGCTTTGTGAAGGCGTCCGCCGTCGAGTGTGGAGGGCCAAAGTAGGTATTTACACCATGCCTTGTGGGAAGAGCCTGTTCTTCAAAGTCTCTGTGCGCTGCTGCTGTGTTTGTTCATGTCTGTGGTTTAAATGTGATCACATTTCTCCCCAGGATTTTCCTTAGCCCACACAGTGTGTGTGTCTTTAACGTTATATTTCAAAGGTAAGCTTACTTTCCCTGCAGACAAAGCTGCAGTCTGTTAGGTGCAGAAAGGTGTGTGGTTTATTTAGAGAAATCTAGAACACTCTTAGATCTCAGTGTGGCTGTGGAGGGAGGAATAGCCAAGGAAAGGTCGTTGACCCAAGGCAAGAGGTGGACGCAGGCTGCTCAGGAGAGCCCTGAAGATCTCTTAGTTATGAAATACACATACATGCTCAGAATGCAGGTCAGCTAAAGGTTAGAAACAGGATTGACCCATTAGTGGGTCGTGAAGTCAGTCATGTGAATTGTAGGCCAAACTTTTGTCAAGGTGGGGGGAGGGGATGAGTTATTTATTTATGTACACTTGGTATCTGTGTAAAATACTTTGGTCTGAGTATTTCCGTCAAAACTAGTTTGGGGAGGTACTGACTTAGAACTGGCCTTACCAAGTATGAAAACAGGCCCTAGGAGCTGGGGAGACGGCTAGGTGGTTAGCAGCACGTGATGCTCTTGAGAGAACCCAATTCAACTCCTAGGACCTCATTAGCAAAATCCTGTCAAAATGAGACAAGAAGGTAAAAGAACAAACATATTTTCCAGAAGAATAGCTGTAACTGGGTTTTTTGTTTTTGTTTTTTTCAGTTGAAGGGTACTTTTTTCTTCTGAGTAAATCACACTTTTGCATGTTACAAGGACTTGTAGGAGTTGAATCTTAAATTTACTGACCTCTGATCCGTCTTAGGCTAGTAGTTTGTATTTTTAAATATTGCCACAGATCATTAAAACAATTTGTGTGTGTGCGTGTGCGTGTGCGCGCGCGCGCGCGCGCTCTCATGCATGTGTGCATGTGAGTGTGCATGCATAAGCAATAAGGCAAAGTCTCTTTGAAAAGAACTAAAAGATAGTGTCTTTTTCAAGAGATTTGCAGGCTGCCTTTAAAATTATCTTGTTCCAAGTTACACATTGTGTACTTAGTTTCTTAGTGGAGGAACACCCGTGTAATGTGTCTCGTAGGTACAACTGACGTCTAATGTGGCTTATATGTATTGTTTTTCTTTGTTGTGTAATCATAATGGCATGTCAAATGCTATTGGCCACTTTTTTCCCTGAGAGCTGTGCTAATTTTGCCTTAACAAAGAGGGGTAGTTGTGTCTGTCCAGGTTCCCAGCTGACTAGAGGCCAAGTCCAGCCTGGTAAACAGACGGCTTCACTCGTGGAGCAAGCAGCACGGAGACGGGTGGTTCATCAGTTATTTAACAATCAGGGGATGGCTACCTGGGGCCAGGCTTTAAAGATAAATAAGACACAGTATCTGTCGTCCTCCAGAAATGTATAGTCTGGTCCAGCCGGAACACCCACAGACAGACAGACAGACAGACAGACAGGATGGTATGAGCTGGCCTCTTCACACAAGCGTTATGGTTTTGTGTCTAAAGGGCCGCTTGTTTCTTTATACCTCTTACATCCGACACCAAATGCAGCTCACCCTGCCAACCACACATCCTCCATTTGGCAGCTGTTCCTTGTCAGCAGTGGTTGTAAGACTCGAATAATCCTGATTAGCTTCTTCTCAGCTAGGGAGCTGAAGTTAGGCTTTCCAGTGAGTGCTGCCCTGTAGCTGCGTGCTCCCAGCCAGTCGTATGCTCAGTGTTACAGTGGTAAGCTCATCCTGTGAGTCGCACGGGGCCAGGGGCTCTGTCCTGTTCTTCACGGTGGCCCAGCATTCAGAGCAGGCCTGTCACATGTTAGGGTCTCAAATATTTCCTATCTTAATAAAAAAAAAAAAAACTACTTGTAAAGAAAGTAGGGCAAATACTTTCAATTATAAAACAAAACTGAAATTTGTTGTTTTACAGAAAATGTGCTCTCACTGGCCAGAGTAAGTCCTGTAAGCACCGGATTAAACTAGGGGACTCCAGCAGCTATTACTATATTTCTCCTTTTTGCAGATACAGGGTAAGTGACGTGACTGTGGCGTTTAGTTTAATAATGTTTGCTTAGCTGTGAGACTGACTGGTTATGACGCCTCTCTGTTTTTGGCCTAGATCACTTCTGTATGTAACTTTTTCACATACATTCGATACATTCAGCAGGGACTTGTGAAACAGCAGGATGGTGAGTGTTCTTACTTCATTGTTGATGTTTACATTAAGACTAGCCAGTCCGAGCCAATGGTGTAATAAACTGTTGGTCCTGCAGTTCCAGGCTAGCCAGTC